TTCTAGACAAACTGGACTACCATCTTGACCTCAGTGGAGACAGTCTGGATCCTTACCCTTGCTGTGCTGTGGCCTATGTGGTCACTCAGTCAAAGGAAAGGAAAATAAGGCTGAACCTCGAGGACGTGATCATATCAGAACAAGGAATGAGACAGCTGTTTGAATGCTTTAAAAATGTTCAGGGGTAAGAATGAACATGTACATTTTCAGTTATATTAGTGCTTAGGTTACAACCTGTAATGAAAAGCATACTCTGAGGTAATGTGATCTCTTTTTCAATTGTAGGTCTGGCCCTCTGCCTCGACAGCTTTGGGAGATTTTTCTTATCAATGAAGAGCAGATGAACTTTGTAAGCTTATTCATCCTAGATGGAAACCTTCACCTTCTAGTTAATGCTGAAAAGAAGCTTTTTGAAAGAGCTGTGGAAATCATGCAGAGGATGCCTACAAAGGTTAATGTGTGCCTCCGCTGGGACAAGGAAACTCCTGCCTGTCACAATCAGTGTGAGTCTCTGTTAAAGGCTTTGCCGTTCATCAGCTCACTCAGGTATGTAGCTTTTGCTTTCAAACAATTATAACTGTTAAAATGAAAAAAAAAAAGAAGGTTTGACTTATTTTATGGCTGGAAAAATCGAGTGATACTAAAAAGGAACAGCTGAAGGGGCATTTTGCAACTTCGTGAGGGCACTTATAATTAAGAATAATCCAGAAATGTCTCTGCACGAAAAACAAGGCTGAAAATCAATATTGGATGCTTGTGATCTTTGAACCATCAGGCCACAAACAGGCCCACTTCTGCCATGAAAATCACTGCATGAGCTCAGGAACACTTCCACAAATCACTGTCTTTGAACACAGTTCACCTTGTCAGTTATCCAGGTCATCGTACAACGTTTCACCTCTCATCCGAGAAGCTTCTTCAGTTCTAGGGTCAAATGGCAGAGAGTCCCAGATTTAAACCCAGTGGGAGTATCCCCTCGAGAGGGACAGTGGACCCCCTGGTGATCCTCTACCTAATCACATGAGCCAAGGTGTGAAAACGGGTGTAGGTCACAATCAGCCAGGGTTTCGGGTGAGTTCATTGTGAAACCTGGCCCCACCCTATCATGTGATTTCTTGAGGTCAGATAGCCCAGGATGTGAGTGGGCGTTAAGGCGTCTGGGAAGGGATGTTAAAACTGGATTATAGATGGCAGACAGTTGGTGTTGTAAGACACCGCCTCTGTTCAAAGATGGTCACTCAAAGTGGACATAAATGGCCTCTTTTATTCCTCTTTCAAACCATCTGTCTTCTCTGGCCAAAATGTGAACATTGGTGTCCTCGAAAAAGAGTGACCTTTGTCCTTTAGATGCAGATGTTGTGCCATGCATTTATGAAGTGGCTGTTAAACGCATGGCACAACCTCCATGTGCTTTTGTATGTGTGGATATGATTCAGCTTCAACCTTGGCCAATTAGCATCTGTGTGTGTGAGAGAGACTGGTTACAGGAATGTAAATAGATATTAAATGTGTCTCCAGCCCATCATTATACATGATTCTGAATAGAGAAATATTTTTAAGTATATTGCAACTGTTAAACACAGAGTCATAACACAGAGTGAGTTAGATACTAACAGGGCTCTAGACTAACTTTTTGCCATGGGTTAGGCGTACCGGCACAAAAGTTAGGCGTACACAAATTTTATAATAATTTATATAATATAATGTGTTTTTCTGGATACACTGTGCTTTTTCAGCATT